CGTAACACTAATTAAGCAAAATTTCTATAGTTCTAAAGATCAATGCTTCAAAATATCAACAGTTTGATATCTCTAATAATCAACAGTTCAAAATATTGAAGGTTCAATATATCTGTCACATTGATGCACAACACATGTAAACAATAAGCCCAAAAATAACTAACCAATAAAATTAAAAATAAATATTGTCCAATAAAATATATACTATATGAAGTGTCCAATAAAAATAAACTAAGAAATTGTCCAATAAAATATAACAAACAAAATATACTATAACAATATGAAAGAATAAAAAGACTAGCTATCAATTTAGTAATTTTCATACATCAAATTTAATAAAGAAAATTTGCCACAAATAATTGATTTGCACTAATATAGTTGAAGAGTCTAATTACCAATGTGGTTTTTACAGAGTCATCTAATTTTACTTGACGTCCAACAACCAACCATACCCAATAAATAAATAGTGTTTCTTAACGTTAATTATTTTTAATTGGCGAATAATATCCAGATACACTAAGAACACAATGATCTAGTCACTATATCACTATTAGAAGAAGTGTCAACTGGAAGAACAGGATGTGCGATCGCTGTTGTTGAATTGATCATTATTGAGCAGAGAAAGAATAATAAGAAAACCGATAAAAATTTATTGCTGATAGTCATTTTCGTCGTTATTTGAAGAGAAATTTAATATCGATTTTTAGAATATATTGACGGAAAACGGAAATGAGAAAGTGAATCTCGTCGTTTAGAAAGCCATTTTAGTGAACAACAATTATTTCCAAAAAAGGTTACGGTAATGGGTTTTGTTGATCAGAATGCTATATTCAGTTTTACTTCTCAAATATTTTCCAAGTCGATATGTCTAATCAGGGGTCCTGTTCTATATACGTAGATGTTTGCTTGATTGTACAGTGCTCGTCAGAAGTAACCATAACTTTACGTAGATCATGTGTAATATACCAAAATTTTCCGAGCACAAAATGCAGATCATTGATACCTTTTATAGATCTATATCGGGTATTGTAAGTTCATAAACTTTCACGTCCCAAATATCTCAGTATCTAATAATCTAACTATTGACATTCAGTGACCCGATTTGAACAAAAAATACAATCATTCGATTTGCCTAGTCAAAGAGAATCAAATGGTAGTATTTTTGTTCAAATCGGATCGCTGGACGTCGAAATATTGCGTCTTAAAGTAGCAGATTCATTTTTTTGACATTCATGAACATTAATCAGCCAATTTAGGACGTAACGGTAATATATATCTCGATCTTCAGTGATCCGATTCGAACAAAAATAATATCATTCGATTCGCCTTGACTAGACAAATCGAATGGTATTATTTTTGTTCGAATCGGATCACTGAAGATCGAGATATTACATCCTAAATTGACCGAATCATTTTTTTAGCGATCAATTTCTAATGAAAAAAATATGATCATTTGATTTGCCTAGATTAGTGTATTTGGGGTATGAAAGTTTATGAATACAATACCCGATAGAACTATGAAAGTATCAATGATCAGATTTGTAATGTTCTTTGTGCTCGGAAAATTTTGGTATATTACACATGATCTACGTAAAGTTATGGGGGCAGGTTACTTCTGACATTATCGAATGGGAAACGGGAAATGAAAAAGTGGTAAGATTTATATAGACGTTTGTAAGTACAATAGATGACTCTTGATTGTATATTAGTTAATCTTTTATTATTAAAATCTATTTAAAATGCCAAACGAAACATCTATTTAATACTAATTATTCGCCGCCGTTACACTATACGATCATCAGGTGATGTTGTCATGATGTAATTCCACGTGACTCATTTTATCGGGATATTGTCTTCTTGTGTCGCACTTATTAAAATGTACACGTTCTTATTGGTTTATAGGCACGTGAGTATGAGGTTTATTCATTTGTCAGTCACATGATCTAATTCTTGTACTACATGTATCAGTAAGTTCCAATTGTTCAATATAAAAGTACGATGAGAATAAAAAAAAGTTCAAAAGACGACAAAAAGCCTAACTACTTTATTAGAGAAAAATAACTAATTTGCACCAATTTGGGCATAAAAAACATTGTTGGAAGAGTTACCATTTGGTTTTTACAAAGTCATCTAATTTTACTTGACATCCAACAATATTTATCAAAAATTATTTTTTCCATGGTGAATAACAGTCCGGAGATGAAAAATAAATGCACCTTCCCAATGTAGTCACTTCATCACCCGTAGAAGAAGAAGGGTCAACTGGACCTAATTGGCCATCAGGAACAGGATATGCGATCGTTGTCGCCGAATTGATAATTGAGCAGAGAAAGAATAATAAGAAAACCGATAAAAAATTATTGCTGATCGTCATTTTCGTCGTTGGTATTAATATTGTTTCTTGTTTGTTGATATTTAGCTTGATAGCATATAGACACCTTTGTCCTCTGTTATTAATAATTATTCAAAAACGAGGAAAAAATTGTATACTGTATTGTGGTTTTTTTATTGAACGGGAAATGAGAAAGTGGTAATGGTAGGATTTATATACGTAGATGTTTGCGAGTACAACAGATGTGTTTATTTGACAGAAAATAGAAAAATCGATAGTGTTCTATCATAGTCACATGATATAACTCTATTTATATCGATAGTTTAATATAGGTTAACAACTAACAAACCTTATCTATAAACTAAAAAGTAGATTGATTTTTTCTTTGGTAACATAATAATAGGAAGAGATAATGCAAATGTTGTGGATTCGGGAACTACTTAAGCGAGGAACGGCATCCCATCTTGACTCAAGGGCTGGGATAGGTCATTATATAGAAAAGTTGGCTAAGTAAAAATTCCTTCCTAATCTAATAAAAAATTTAATAAAAATACATCTGTAGTGTTATTCAATCACTTTCGATAATTGTTAACAGTGAACTACGTATATAGTTTTTCAATGTTCACATTTTTATTTACACGTAATTCTTGATATAGTAATGAATATGTTGTACAAATCTAAGATTAGAACAAAATTATGATTTGTATCAAAGGGCTTAACGAGAGGGGTTTACAACTGTTCCCAAATTCGGTTTATCAAGGTTTTAATTTCGGTTTAACGGGGCTGACTTGTATTAGACAATCCAAACATTGACAGTGGCAAGTTAATGGAGACTGTTTCTTATTTGATTAGCTTACCAAAAGACGATAATCTCACTTTCGATTTACCTCGATTAAAAAATGCGAAGCTAATACAATTAACATTTTTATATAATTACACTTTGTTAATGCATAAAAGAGCATGCATTTAGAGAAGTGTAACTTTATATGTTAGCTTTGATTTATTTAGTTGTTTTTTATGAATTTTAATTACTTTTTATTCCTTATTCATTAAATGTAAATTTAATTAAGTCAAACTATTTAGTTTTATATTAAATAAATGAATGTTTGAACCTCTTAATACACAAGATAAAAATTGAATTGTATGAATAAAAAGCTCATTACTAACCATTTAGAATCATCTTTATTTAGAAATGATCATCTTTGTATGCACAAGAAAAATTTAGCCGCCGGTTCACTCAAATTCTTATTATAAATTACACTAACCTTCACTCTGATGTTTGGGCGTATTTGTATGATGAATATGTGATTGAATTGTATATATATGTATTTGTATTTGTATTTGCCAATATTAGTAATTAAACAAAAAAATTTTCTATGATGAAAGTGATAAAAATATGATAGAACCTGCCTATCTCTTTGACTCTTCTTTATATCAAGGTATAGGCACATATAAATTAAATAAAGTGTGAAAAAACTGACTATTGTCATCATTACAACCATCGACAAACCCTCCCAAATCGATTAATCACGTGACTCTATCCACATAAAAAACTTCGCATTATTAAAAACACTTCTATTCCATCAACCGACACATTCACGTCGGATTTTGTTGCGATCTCAAAATAATCTTAAATACAATATATATAAAATAAAAATTATTACAGAATAGAATCGAATCATAATAATATAACAAGACATTAATAACAATAATAATACCAAAAAGAACAAATTAATTCACAAACTACAAAATACTATCCATCTTTGTAAAGACATTCAATACCGCTGCCACGACTTCGATCTGCAAATCCTTTCCTTCGGGAAACTCGATGCGTGCGTTCGCCGCAAACGGCCAAGTCGAATAATCACTCAACAATTCATCCACTTTTCCGTAGGCTTTCTCCCGATGTTCGTGAGATAAGAGAATCAGAGCATTATCGAGAACATTTGCTGCATATGCCGCACACACCATTGATATGGTGCGTAATCGACTGAACGGTATGTCGGGGTCGGAAGAAGCGGTAGCTGATGAGTGCGTGGTTAGTGTTGTGGTTAAACGTTTCACAATCTCTTCTTTTGCTGAAAAGTCACTGACTGGATGTGTGGCCATGTCGAAAAGAAGAAAATTGCGTTTCTCCGTTCGTAGAATGCCTTTGTCTACTAATCCTTTAGCGAGACGTTCTCGCACTTGTTTTAATTGATATCCTATTTTCATGACGTTCCATGTTTCTCCTGTAACATAACACACACACATATAACATTAAATCATAATATACGATGGTTTATCCGCAAATCAAATTTCTTTTATTATCTCAATCATCCATAAAAAAAAGGCTTACCACTCATTAAATCGATCCAACTTCCCACACTCATTTTGTCACTTGTTTTCATCATTTTTAATGCCTCGTCCAGCAAAACCTCACCGGTCAATTTATCATCCAATACCTCAATCTCTCGTTCCGAAAGCGGACTTCTACGACGACCCGGATCTTTAACCATGGCTATTCGACCTCTAAACGCCAATTCAATAAGAATACAGCCTCTGAGTGTGTACGAGATGTTATCATTCCAGAAAGAGAGATAGCCCTTGTGAGATAAAGTGATTGATGATATATTGTTGTTTAAATAATAAATCACACAAAAAACAAATCGAATCAAAAAATCAAATAAAAAATCTAAATAAACTTTATTATTTAATTACTATGCGTAGTTATACCCAAATTATTACGAGACATGCCGAGTAAAAAATTACAACAGTCTCTCTCGCTGCTCACCTGTTTATCCTTCAGCCCCAGTAACAGAACTTCCTCCATGAGTGTGAGTTTCGGTTGTCGTCTATCTTGGTCGTCCAGCGAATCCTTTGGATCAACTGCAATCTTCACTCCATTCTCAGATATTATGTTTCGATCTATGGTGTTGGTTGTGATGCCATTACTATTGTTATTTGTGGGTAAAAATGTCTCGTTTGATGATGACCCTGATGAATTTAGACCAGCGGCATTGCGCCTTCGTTGTAAACCGCCAGCCGATGCCATTTTTGTGTGTACTTGTTGTATGTATACCAAAATTTATATAAAAATCTTTGATTTGTATGTTGAGTGAGGCAAACGAGGTATATTCTAGAATACACGCGCTCTATAATATACGGAACGAAATACTTGTAGATAGATAGACCTTTGTTGCACAAGATAGCAGATAGCATTATAATAGATCGGGGACAAAATGATAAGCCAAACCTGAATTTTGGTAATTTTATAACGCGCGTCATTTTCTCGATGTCTATATACATGTCAGAAAATATTTTATTTTTTTTGATCTTAATTACACAGTGATGGATGATACCATTAACCGTATTTGCACATTAGGTTAGGTCAGACGGAGTGAGTGTGAATAAGTGGCGAGTTTATGAATATTATATCAAACAAGAAAAACTTCTATATGTAACAAAAAAGCTAACATATATATATATTCTATTTTACAAAAGATAGGATGTCTTATCCTACTTTCTCCTCCTACACCTCCCTCTATCTTCTTATTCATTTATTCCAAAAACATTTACTAAACTATACAGTCCCAAGGAATTTCAATCCAAAAAAAGAAATTATAATTTAAACGTCAAGTACCCAAGAAAGTGCACCTCTTACCATCGGCCTCACAATCCCCTTACGATACTTCATTGCCGTGACCACCACGCCCATCGCAAATCCAAACAACCCAACCTCACCCAACTCTTTCAATGTCTCGGCTTCACTCCACCACTCATTCTCGCCGACCAATCGACCCCAGAAACTGAATAATGCTCGTGGTGCCACATACAAGGCCATCTCACTTCGACGTCGCTTATTCTCCAACATTAGCGAGAACCCGCACACAAAGCACCCGAGAAGTGGTCCTAATCTGTCCCAGTGTGTTTTGTCGACCCACGGTAGTAACGTGGGTCCTATTCGACTTCGTGTGAAACAGCAAGAGTACCAGATTGCAGTTATGAATGTTGCAAGGAAGGATGCGGACTGTGATGTTGATGTGATTATGTGTGTAATCGAGTCCATTGGTTTTTGCATCACTTCACTGGTACGAAATACTAATGGTGGGAGTCCGTGGATCGGAAGATATATCTTTGGTATATAATCATTATCGTTAATTTTATTTACCATTAAAAATAAACGAAATAATAAAACATACTTTTAGTGCCGTCAAAAAACCTTGAAACCATCTTCTCCCCGCATGAATTTCACAAGATCTCGTCTCATTTCCATGCACCACTATACAAGGTATTTGTCCATTAGCAGGATCACCCAATCCAGGATCTAATCCTACTTCCTCAGCATATTCGCTCAAAATTCCTGGATGACCTGTATCGCGTCCATATTGGATTTCTCCCTTTCTCACGAGACGAAGTGTCTCCACAAATTGTGGCTCAATTTGTGCCATGTGATTTATCCAATCTATATATGAGCTGATTTAATATAATCATGAGAAATCATCGTTGAATCATTTAACATATAAAAAATTCACAAATGTAAATGTTTTACTTACCTTGGTAATCTTTTTGGAGCATAAAACCACGCAAACATGATCTCACTACAGCTACACACAAATGCCAAGGTGTCAATATGTTCGCTCACCCATTTCGGTATCCACTTTTGTTTTGTACGCTCTGAAATACGTTCTTGATATATATACCGAACTAACACATCAATAGCGCGTACTAGTGCTAATAATGTCAGATCAATTGTTTTATTAACAGTGCCCGGCGATATTCGATGTAGATAATAAAGTGAAAATGAAGAAGCAAGCGTGGCAGTGACAAAAGTAGTCGCTACTTTCTCTCGTTGACTCATCATTGGAGGAACAATCGCATCAATCACGGCAACTTCACTTGTTATAGGTGACGACGGCGACGATACAGACGAAGAAGCGATCACAATTTTTTTTTGCAGATAATTTTCTTTATGTTCCAACACAATCTCCTCGAGCAATTGTCCCCCGCCCAACCCAATTCCACACATCATCGGAAATCCGCGAGCGTGTAATGTTTTCCATAACACTCGCTCAATGCTGACATGTAATAAAAGTCCCACGAGATTCAAGACACTGATTGTCTGTGGTCTGTCTGGTCGTTTTCGGCGTGCGATATATTTTGCTATTATCACATACCAGTACTTCACCATACGTGGTACCACTGTTAGCGCATATCCGAAAGCGTATGCTCGAAGAAATGTGAATAAAGCTCGGTGATTTGGGTGAGTTTTCAGTAGCAAGATTACTTGTTCGATATTTAGACCGCGGTCTTGCGAAGACATTGGAAGATATATCACACGCGTATTTATTATGTAAATGATGTTCTCTCCTCTTGATTTCGCTCGGCGACACTAAAACACAGGTTTGATCTATTGGTTCACTTGTTAGAAAGAAGCGAGACAGGAAATCAAAACTGGTTCTGCATTTCTGCATGTTGATCATTTGATGTCCTATTAAAATTATGTCGATTGTCTCCATAAAAAAGAAAGAGAGGCACAAGATAGAAAATAGATCACACAAAACACTTCGGCACGTGGTAGAGAAACAATGAAAAAATGAGATCGACGACGAATAATATCATTAATTGTTGTTCATTATCACCATTTTACAATCACTATGCAGAAAGAGTGAGCGAAAAAAAATGAATAATGGAATGTCTATTATTATTATTATTTTTTATTTGTTAAAGTGTAGATTATTATTATTATTATTATTATTATTATCGTTATGGAAATTTGAATCTATTTTTTTTAACATTGCATTTAGGTGTCGTGATAATAACAATGGTGAATAAGAATCCTGTTTTCTTTTTTTTTAAGGTTACATAATAATTTAAATAGATTTACTCGCTCTTATTTGTTTTTGACGTGAAAGTGACGAATATTTTCAAATACATGCATGCGAGAACACACCTCTCCAATTTAAGTTTTGAGTACATTGACTTCTAAAAATAAACTTGGTATTTATTAAATACTTATTATACTTTGTTCCTAACTTTTAGCGTCATCGTCATCGTCATCATTATCATTTTTTCTTTTAGAATTTTTTATGTTATTATAATGCGAAATATTCTACTTTGATTTATTTGTCTGACAATAATGTAATAATGTTCAAATTTGGTATTAGCCGATAATATTTCCAATAGGAACACATTAAAAAAATTAAAAATCCAAATTATGAATGTTTATTGTTTGTAAAATAATAAAAAATAATATTAAGATTGAAACTTCAATTAAAAATAATGTCTTTTCACATGCTAATAAAATCAGTAATTTTTGTAATAAAATTTTAAATTCTTAAACACTAAATATTATAAATACAATGGCAATCAAAAAAAAATGCAACAGCATTAAAATTTATTAATAAAACATAACAAAATGCAGGTTTTTTCTCTTTATATAAAGTTTTGATTTTACTAATCAATATTTTTTATTTTTTATATGAAAATACAAATCATAATTCATATTTAAAATATATTTTTTCAGATTTTTTAGATTTAATCTGAGAAAGTATTTCTAATTGCAAAGTAAATTGATTAATTTTTTATATTTTAATTATAAAAAATTAATTAATTTACTTGGCAATTAGAAAAAAATATATGTTAAAATATGAATTATAATTTGTATTTTCATATAAAAATAAAAAATATTGATTAATAAAATCAAAAACTTTTATATAAAGAGAAAAACCTGTATTTTGTTATATTTTATTAATAAATTTTAATGCTATTGCATTTTCTTTATTGTCATTATATATTATTATTTTTTTTTGATATAAATATTAAAATAACAAATTATTTAAAATAATAAATATAACTTTTAATATTTATTAATATATGAAATATAATTAAATTTTTTATAATTATGTAAAAAATCCTGTTATAATTACTCTTATTCAAGAATTAGTTATTATATTATAAGTATATTTATTATAAAATCACTATTATAGTTATATTTATAAAAAAATTATTATTTAATCTGATAATATAATTATAAAAAGAATTAAATATATTATATATTATATCAATTTATTTAACTTGCAAATTAATTTGTAAAAATTGTTATTTTATAATTATTAAAATTTCAAAATTTGGTTCAGTTTAATTAAATTTGAATCAAGTTTAGTTCAAGTTCAATTTTAATTTAGTTTAAAAAAATATTTAATAATTGTCAAATATTATTTATTAAAAAATGATTTAAATAAATCGAAAGTAACAAATTTAAATAAAATATAATTATATATAATATAGTAAATTTAATAAAATATATAATTGTAAAAATTTATTATATAAAAGATAATATTTTTAATATTAAAAATAATAAATTATATTTTTTATTCATTTTTTCTTTAATAATTATATTATATATATATATTTATATTTATATACTTATTTTCATGTATATTTTCTTTAAAAATTTATTATTATTTAAATATTAAAAGATTTTTAGATTTTTAAAATAATATAATATATATATAATATTTAAACTACTTGAATATTATCTTGTTAATACAATCAATACAAAAAATAATAATGAACATGTTTTTTATTTATAACTTAATAAGAATTGCTAAAAATTCATAAAAATTTGATATTATATTTTTTAGAATAATAAAAACAAAATTTTCTAAGATCAAAAGTATATTAATATAATAATATTTTGTAAAATCACAAATAGTGAGCTGGAAACTATTCTGGTTAAAGAGTTATAAAAAATTATTTAAAAAAATTTTTTATAAGCAAGTATAAAAAAAATTTTTAAATTGCAAATATATTTTTTATATTTTTAAATATTTTTTTATAAAATTTTTTTTATATTTGTTTATAAAAAATATTTTTAAATAATATTTTATAACTCTTTAACCAGACCAAAATAATTCTTTAGTCTATTATTTTTAGTATATAATTTTATAAAATATTATTATATTAACATATTTTTAATTTTAGAAAATTTTGTTTTCGTTATTCTAAAAAATATAATACCAAACTTTTATAAATTTTTAGCAATTTCTTATTAAGTATAGATGAAAATATATTTGTTATTACTTTTTATATTAATTATAAATATTCAAGTATAATTAACCAAAAATCTGAATTTTCAAAAATTATTTTTAAATATATTGTTACCGTTAGTAGCCTTTACAGATGAAGATCTTTACTAGAACAGTAGGCAGTGACTGCATCATGTGAAAAAGCATGGAGGAATAAGCAAGATATAAAATAATCTTCTAATTTTATTATTTGTTAGCTAAAGCGCTAAAGATTCACAAAGAATCTAACAAGTTCACAAAGAACTTTAAGAATAAAATATATTTTGAAAGATAAAATAAGTTCACCAAGAACTAAATG